TAAGAAGAACAGAAAAGAAAAGACTCCCTTTCAGGTATAAAACAAAGACTTCAATGTCACACACTGTCTCAGCACAACAGGGAGGAAGGACAGTAATCCAACACCACACACTTCAAGGAAAAAGCAGAGCATCCAATTCCTGTCTGCACACTAAACCTTGTGGGAGTCTGAGTGAGCAATGTGGGTAGAGAGAACGAAGGAGAAGGAAATGGCAAGATCTGAACTTCGACACTGAGCTATAAAAACAACCTCAGCAAACATTAGACATCATAACCAATGAGGTCATTTCAGAGCAATATCAAGGGATCTCCTGACTGTGTGGTTACAAAAAAAAAAAACTTACAGTCTCAACTCAGTTTATCCAAAAGGTAATTATGAAAACACATCAAGAGTGACGTAAACACGGAGTCCGACTTAGGCTTCTTTTATCTGTACGTTTTCTAACAAAAGAGGGTGTAAGCTTTCCAATTCAGCAATCAGGAAGTGTTATTTTTGACGGTAGCTACACTCGCACTGTACGTCAAGCCACGAATGTCATCCTGCTTTATGTAATGCACCGCTGGGTGTGGACACATGCAGTGTACGCATCTAAATGCGTATGAGTGAGATTAGCATGGTGTGAGGACGACTCCCTCATCAAGTCGGATGACTTTGGCTTCAGATCAATTTAACGAGTAAAAGTTCCAGACAAATATTTGGAGCTGGTCTAATGATGACAGACAAAGCAGTGAAATGTTTTCAATGTTTTTCTAAGCTAAAATTAACAACAGGGGAGCAGATATGAGACGTTCTATTAAACTTCAACTCTGAGACATGCAGGAAAGAACAGTTAAAACATTTTCATCCGAAAAAAAAAGAAAAAACAACCCATAAATACATTCCTGCTTCTTTTAATTTTAATACAGTTCACACTCGCATACGGCTTACTTATTATACGCCTTCCCTATGCAGGCCTAAACCCCATCACTGGCTCAACCATGATGGAGCTGGGAGGTTTCTAAAATATTAATTCAGAAGATAAACCCTTCAGGATGGGAAAAGGACACCGCTGGCCTCAATAAACCTCAGTATCTAGGGTATTATTCTAAAGGTGCATAAAAGTTCAACCCAGATCAGGTTCCTCTTTAAACAAAAAAACAAAAACTGGTTTCAGTGGAGCTTGTTGATAAACTACAAAGGATATTTTAATAAAAAGCACTAAAGTCATCTTTAGAAGAGCTGTCTCACAAAATAAAATGACTAAATGATCATTTCTTGTTTAATTTATTTAACATTTTAATATTTACATGTTAATTTCATTTGATATTTATTCTATATATTTATTTACTGTATAGTGCAATTATTTCAAATTTAAAGTTATTTTAATGGGACATTTTCTGAGTTTTTTTTTTTTAACAATTTAAATATTAGGTTTAGAATGAAAGTTATTGTTGTTGCTTTTGGAAACATTTGTTTCCAAATGTTATGAAATTTGGAAATAAATTTCTTCTGATGGGTCTTTTTTTGTAAAATGTACTTTTAGTGTACTAAAGTTACTTTGGTTGGTCATTTTTTCCCCCCTTGTAAAGTACAACTGTTAAAGTAACAAAGTTTAGTTTTAAAGATGAGAAGGTAGCTGTGTATCTGCGTGTTTAGGATTAATCTTATTAACCATAATCAAAACTGGACTTAAGCCAATAATAAAATGTTTGACCCAATTTGAAGAAAACGTCTCTGAAGCCACTTACTCTGTCTTCTTGCGGGACTTATTTGCATGATGATCCAGCAGGTTGACCACGGCCTGGCCCAGGAACTTGTCCAGTCCCACCTGGGCACGGTGCATGACTATAATGTACAGCGTACAGCGCTCGGCGTTTCCCGGGTGGAAGAGCGGCAGGTCAAACGATGCCTCCTCTTTCCACACCGGAGCGACACATTTCTCCGCCACCGAAGTGGAGAACTTGTCTTTGGCCACCTGGATGATGGCGTAGGCGTCGTTGGTGCCATTCTTGCCCTTGGTCCGCAGGTTCCGAGCCTGATGCACCGTTACCACAACACTCGTTGGGAACAACTGCTGGCTCTGGTCGAGCAGAGACATCTCTAAAAGTCCGTCAAGTTTGACCAAAAGTTGACTCGAGTTGTTTAGTAACAATAACTTAAAACGTTTAAGTGCTGGCCAACCTTATTGTGAACTTTGAGTCTTCACCTTCGCCGTCCTCCGTTGTTGTTGGTGTCGATTACCTCAGCGTTTGTTCTGTTCAGGAAGCTGGGTGTCGTAATAGTCCACCTTCCTACTTCACCCTTACAGACCTGTTTATTAACTTCTGGTGAATATTGCGCCGAGTTGACAGCGTCCGCGCTGAGCTAGCCAAGATAATGCATCTTTCACTGAGTGGCTTTCTGTAGAGAGACTTATAAACACAACTCCCTCTTTAACGCTCCGCCAAGTTTCACAGCTCACTTCCCTGATGCCATCAGTCCCTACCCACGGGTCTGCATATGGCCCTCTGATTGGCTGAAATAAGTGTCAGTTCTTTAAAGTCTGACTATGATTGGACAGACGAAAGTACCGTTAATTTGTTTGTCCCACTGCTATGGACAAGATAGACAATTAGTATACAAACCACAGTACAATATATTTATGCAAATTTTCATTTTAAAACACAAAACAAGTTAAACATATTTGTCTGTTTATACGTAGAAATTAAATGCCACATTTTTGGTGAGTCGGGGAGAAATTTATCTCACGCCCAGTTGTCAACATGAAAGCAAACAATCTTTTATGAAAAGAGTTTTAATGTGTGTTGGGATTATTGCGGTGTTGGAACATATACGATTCGGAAATCGGACCCTCACTGATTGGACGCTACCAATCTCAAGTTATAATTAGGTGATGCAGAAACACCAGGTACACTGTCCACAGTGAAGATAGTTCAAACTTATCTTGGAGTGAGAGAGTGTCAACTAAAAACTCCAAAATTCTCATATCAACTTAACTAAAATTTGGAGCAGAACTCTCCTAAGCCAAGTTTCTCTAAATTAATTTTTTTGAAACACAAGACTCAGTTGCAAGAATTATTTTTAAATAACTCAAGGTGAGACTTGAAATCTGGATACGCTCTACCAACTAGGCACAGTAGTGTAGGATCATGCTGAGGCTCTGCTTTGCTAGTGCATTACAAAAAGAAAAGGAAGTAGGAAAGATCTAATACATGGACAGAATTGTGAGCTCCAGCAGGACAATAAAACAAACTGGTTAAAAGTCAGATCTGTACCACAAAAAAAAGAGGAAACTTAAAGGAGTTCCACTATTTCTGATTAAAAAGAGTAATAGAATTTTGTCAGGACCTTGTTGATGGTTAGAAAAAGTGTACTCTATGCAACTTGCCAGAGGACATTTGTTCTACTGCACATGTAATTATTATGTCTAAAAATTCACCTCGAATGTATAATTTTGTCTCTCTATGGATTAGAGAAAATCGACAATATATTTAAATGTGCAAACTCAATTCTTGCTTTTAAAATCAATTGAAAAATGTTATGTTTCAATACCAACCTTATCTTTCAATGCATTGTTAAAAGCACATAATGAATGTGATCATAGTGTTGAGCAGTGTATTGTATGCAAACTTCTGACTGGAACTTAAACTTGTTTTGAAGACAGTTAAATATTGAAGTCAATTAAATATTCATAAGGTGGCAGCGATTAAACCTACAGGACAACTTAATTCAAATAGACATGTGAGTAAAACGGATCTGTTTAGGAGTTTAAAATAGTTTGCCACGAGAGGTATGACTCACAGTCACATCCTGGTTTGGACTGAAGTCATTTTACCCACAATTCATTCATCACCAGGAGCATGTTGAAACAGCCAAGATTAGCAAACTGTAAGACCTTACCCATAAAACAATGGAAAATTTTACAGTGTTGTAGGCAGACATGGTTTTTCCTGTTTGGGTTATTTCCTAAACATACTAAAAATAGAAGCACGTCTGTGTTTGTTGTACATATATGGACAAGTATTTTGTGAAAACTAATTGAAAAGGACTTAGTAAAAACAAATTTATATATGTGAAATAAAGTTCGATTTTTGTGTTTGGAAAACTTTCAGTCTCAAATGTTTTGCTGCTATCAGAGCAGTGAGTCCAACATAGTTGAGAGGGGAAAAAGTCTTTGTCGAAAGTAAAAGTTGTCAATACATTTGAGAATAACTCTTTTTCCCTTCATAGAGTGGCTTGTATATTCTTGAACATTTCACATTTTGTCTTGTCACAAGCACAAACCAAAATTTAAATGCTATTTTATCTGACAGACCAACACAAATTAAATGGAAGACACAGTCTCATTGGACATTAAATCTAGAACCCTGATCTTTTATCCTATGGATTTTTTTGTTTGTTTGTTTTTTCTTCAAATTTCCTTTCATAGATATTACCTGTGGAGGCTTGGTGAAACAAGCCAAAGTAATCATTACTAGATCAAATCATGTAGCTTTTAGCCAATCGAATTGCACTCCTTTGATCTCGTGTCACACGGTAAGCTACAGTAGTTAGCATGTCTATCATGTGCCAAGGTGAATAAAATACGCCTTTGTATTTTATCCTGTTCATTCCTACAGAATAAAACACACCCTTGTATTTTATTCAATGTGACAAGTTCTGAGAATATTTATGACGTGGAATACCTTTGTAAGGAACTGTATATTGTTTTCTTCTCAAATCATAAATAAAGGAATGTTATCAGAAAACAGGTAACTTCAACTATTGTCAAATATCCCACACTTTTAATTCACTCTGAGATTGTACAACATCCATACACAGCTCTCTTTATGTGTGTGCACATACACACACACGCACGCACGCACGCACGCACGCACGCACACACACACACACACACACACACACACACACACATACACCACATACTTACACACAACCACTGCAAACATACAAGTGCATACATGAGCACATACATTAACATAAGTGTCAAAGGTTTCCTTCAGATTAAATGCATATACATGTGCTTTGGAAACAGACGGCTTTGCACTCCATTTTATGCTATAGTTCAAATGCATAGAAAATTTACAACTAAAACAATAAAGCTTTCATGAGGCATCCAAATACAACATCAAATGCCAAATTAAAATATCTTTTACACATTCTTTTGTAAAGTGATTAAAATAAATGTGTATGCTCGAACATGTCAATAACAGAAACTGCCTTAATATTTCACATCAAACTTACAAAGCTACAGAGGCAAACGTACCAGTTTAGAGTCCTGGATGCCTTCATGATATTATATCTTAAATTATATAATTGTTAAGTGGACGTTAAAACACAACCCGGTCATTTCATTAAGGTCATGCATACAAGTTCATCCAAAATTTTATACTGTGGTTTCACTTTTCCACAAACCAGTTTTCATTCCAACAGAACTCTGGGATTGGTCCGTGCCACTCATGTCCTGCTCAAGCTCGAGCACCGAGATTTTCAGGGTGCCATTTGGGGCAGCAGCCCCGGGCACGGTGTTGGCGACACAGTTCAAAGGATAGGAGCAGCGCTTAGTTTCTCGCTCTGCAGATGCTGCCACTTTCAAGTTGTCTCTGCTGGAGCATCGTCTTTGATTGCTGTGCATGGCCACTCTGCTGGCAGCAGAGGGCGGCAGAGGGAAGGGTTTGCGGCTCCCGCTGCTGCCCCCGTCGCTCCCCTCAGAGGGGCTGGTGGCTGCCGACTCCCCCACTCGCTTTCCGTTGGTCAGCAGGGTGGCCTGGTTCTCTGAGAGACTGTGGTGGATGCTGCCGTTCTCACTTGTGGCCTGCTTGTAAAAAGCATGCGAGGAATTGAGGTGCTCCGAACCTGTCGGCCCTAAAGCACCAAGACTGCCCCCTCCAGCAGTCCTCAGAGCTTTCAGGCGGTAGTGACCTCTGCCCTCACCTCGATGATAATGTTGACTACTCCCTTGTTTAGTTCTGCTACTCACTTTTTTTCTCTGGGGATGTACCGGGGCTGAAGAGTTTATGGAGGGAAGGACATTGTTTGTCGGCTTTGTGATGTTGTCTGTACTGGTGCTCGTGTTGTTGCTTGTAGGGACTCTTGAAGCGTTGCTGGGATTGTCCTGTGCCACCTGCAACAGGTTTGTGAGCTTGCACGGCCCAGGTCCGACGCTGCTGATCCCGCTCGGCGTGGACGATGACCTGGCTGAGGACGAGTTGTGAGAGTCAGCGGGTGGATGGCAGTTGATGAAGAGCTGGGATCCTTGCTCCGATGTCTGCACTCCACTTACAGTGGTGCAAGTGTTTGTGTAAGTGGACATCGGATGGGAGCGACGATAACCTGGGCAGCAGCCCAGCCACGACGTCTGCACGTCACGGCGTCGAAAGCAGTGGTGCACCACCAGAAACACCCCTAAAACTGTGGCGACTATCCCATAGAGACAGCTGAACAGCAAGCTTGCGCGCCCTGTTAGCCACACTGCCATGGCTCCACAACACCAAAGAGCTGCGAACAGGAAGTGGGTGGCTACCAGTATAGAAAACTGTGTCTTCAGCGAGTACTGATCCTCTGGAGGGGCGGCTGGGGTTATAGGTCTCCCTGCTGAGTCTGTGGAGAGCAGGCTGGTGCTTCCTGCCAGTGCAGGATGGCCCTCTGTCCCAGGAGAGGACAGGGTGGTTCCTGTGCATTCTTTGGACACACGGTGCCTCAGGCGAAGCACAGTGCACAGGAAATAAATCCAGGTCACCAACACCACTAAACCAGCAGGGACAAAGAAAGATCCTAGACTTGAGCGCCAGATCAGCCAGCAGCTGAAAAAAAAGAGGAAAGGATGGTCAATGCAAAACAAGAATTTCTTTGTGTTTTTAACGCTGAATAAGTCAAAGCTGCACCAAGCAAAACAAAACAAAGTCAAAAGATCACATTTCAAGAGGATAAAACAGCAATTGACATACTAAGGGCTATTGTCTCCATAGTTGTTGACGTTGACAGCTGCAGTGATTCCACAAATGATGAGAGGAACTCCATCGGCTATTAAATAGAACCTGAAAATACAAAGAGAAATGCTGTGAGCACAGTTTCTGAACTTTAATAAACCAAGATAAGATGATGTATTCCAAAATAAGCAGTGGGAACTTCGCATCAATGTTGACTCTGAAAGAGCTCTTCCCTTTTGACGTTTCATATACGTAAATGAAGATGTACATAAACAGAATCTCGTGAATCTGAAATTGTGATCTAATAAATCTTGTTCAGACAATAATAAACCAGTGTAAGTACTTTACATTTTTAATTAGATTACCACATGCAGTCCATAGTCTTTCAAAGCACTGAAATAGCCTTTCAACTCAGACTTTGTTAATAAAAGGCCTTTTTCAGCATCATTACCTAAATGATAATGCTTTCTTACAATCCTTACACTGTGGAAACAGGGGGCGCCCACCTGCCACTGAAAATTGGGAAGGTTGTTTGACACACAACTGCCATGTAATTTTTTTTTTTTCTTCACCCACTGATATAAGGGCGTCCTGAGTGGGCGAAACTAGCACCACTTATTGGGACTAAGTGGTATACGTTGACCTAAAATATTAATGTTGTTCATTTTTGAGTTTTTGAGCTACGCAATCCACTACACTATTACCAAACAGACAGTCAAAAGGGAAAAGGGTCAGAGCGCATGCCAGAAGTCATTGATTTATCACCTCCTGACCCATTTGGTTCTGTGGACAACAAAGGCACTGACTGGAGATCCAGTGAGGTCAGGGGCACAGTGCACAACTGCAGTTTTAAGATCACAGGCAAAGGAAAAAAAAAAAAGGGTTGGGGGAACAGAGGGAAATTGTGATGAAGACAGTGCAGTCCTTGAATCACCCAACTTCAATTTATGACAACTCCCACAGTTTCTGTTCTGTTGGTGTCACAAATTCTTCCTGCCCACATCTCTAAAATTATCCGGTCGCATGTCTTTTTCTTGCCTCACAGCTGTACTTGGTCGGTCTCCCTCCTCCCTTTCTAAATCAGAAGGACTATGGTTATCGGGCACAATGACTGCCTTTATGAGATGGCAGTTTGGGTGGTCGAGCATGGGAACTTCTCCAACTGTCTAAAGTAAAAAAATATATGGACGGCACACAATGCTGTCATGGTGCAGGAGGTGAGTACGGGATTGCGGTGGCTTGCTCACTGACCTGAGCATAGGTCGCTGAGTAGGTGGAGGGGAAGACTCTCCTTCCGTCTGCCGGGGCGTTCTCCACACGGCCTCTTTGTAAATGACCCTGGCGCTAACCCCAATCCACAGCAGTGTTGACAGAGAGGAGTAGTGAAGAGCGATGCCCACCTGTCACATACAGCAGCAGTGTGACTGGATGTGAAGCATGACGTGCAAGCAGTTAAAAATAGCACCGCGAGGTAAAACATACTGCCTGACAGACAAGAGGGTAGCTGGTTAGGCTTATGCCTCCTGCATAAATAGCCGATGTCATGGCGATGTGGAAACAGGTGTTCAGCAGAGTGTGCCAACTTTTTCTTGATATCTGTATGGAACTGTAGAAAACATACAGGAGAGAAAATTATTAGAAAGAAGCAGCAAATGGCCAGCGCTAGCAGGAAGTTCGACCAACACACTACCTGTGGTGTAGTATGTGGGTAATGATGATGGTGAAGAGGCAGAGAAGCAGCACTGCAGTGCATGCGTAGACCACAGGGTGGAGCACCCTCACAGAGACTAAGCTGGAGTTGGGGAAGGTGGGAACTTCCTGGAGAGGAATTGAAAAAGAACTGGGTTAAGTTTTCATCAACAATCTGTCACAGTCATCCTGAATTAACTGAGTGCGCTTCCTTTACCTGCAGCACCGCATAGTTGCCGAGCACAGAGCAGCGCATCAGTGAAGTGCTGCTGTCAGTGTGAACAAGCTGGCAGCCTTGCTGGCTCCAGCCTCCCAGTTTCCCTGGTTCTGTGTGGCTCCACTGGGCTGCCACTGCATCGGTGCCTGGGGTCAAGTGGCGCAGGGATACCCAGATGTGATCAGAATAGTTCCACATGGTGCAGCCGTCTGTCACAGAGTGGGAGATATTTGTCAACATAAAACTACACAGATTTTTCTCTGTTTTTAAGTATAAAAATAGCCTTTGTCTTGACTGCAAAGAGTTCAAACAAAGGTACAGATTGCCAGAAAAAGGCAAGGGTCCGTGCACTTTTACCCAGATCTAAAGTTATTTATGTAATTTTGTTTTTGCAACAGAAGTGTTTAGGTATCGAGTCTGTAAGATGCAACAAGTGCAACATTTGATTAGTAGCACTTGGTGCAATTTGTGAGAGCTAAAAAGGAGTATGTTCAATATCTAATTATCAGATTTTTGGTATTTGACAACACAAACTTCTTGACTACTAAGTTGTTTAGTCCTTATGAGGATTAAGGATCTCATTGACTACAGATCAAAGAGAGCTTTAAGATATTTTGTCATAGCAAAATGAAAACAAATAGTTTTTTTTTTTTTATTTTTTTTTTTTTTATTACCAAGGCCTACAAAGATGACAGGAGTGTTGACACTTCGTCTGCGAGATTGTTCAACGGCGTTGCTTGAGTTTGGCAGTAGAGGAAAAAAGCTTCCTGTTCGGAAAGCCACAAACTGCAGCTTGCAGTCCGCAGCAGCATCCGGGGGAAACAAAGTGGCTGGAACAGTCACAGAAGCGAGGGCTACAGAATTCTGAAGAAAAGAACAAAAACAGCAGGCAGATTTTAGTAAATAAAGTCCATGATTATGGCTTCACACAAAGAGATACGTTTGGTCGCTAATGGAGCGGCAGGAGGAAAAGCCTCACCTTCAAGGGGAAGTTGGTGAGGGAGACGTTATGGGAGCCAGTGCTGCAGCGGAAATGAAGGAGTTGCTGAGGTGCAGACTCCGACGTCTCCACTCCTGGCCGTCCTGTTGGCAACTCGCGGTGGTAATATGCGGTGCAGGTTATACCGGTGAAGTGCGCGGGTCGGATCAGGTGAGCTTCCATCACGATGTTCTTAGACACCTTCAAAAATCAATTTGAATATTAGTGAAAAGAAACACTCCACAAAATGTTATATCCGTCGAAATGAGACGATTTACAACAACCACTCCATGGCTTTGTTTTATCACACGGGCAAATTAGGTCACCAAAAATAATTTAATATTTTCATGATCGTCCTACAATTTTGCCATTGCAGAAGTACAAGACATATGTGTGTCACAGAAACAGATACAACTTTAGATCAAAATTCTTACGAACCACAGAGAAGTCTTGTGCTCCACCGTGTAACTGAGGCCAGGCTAAAGTTTCCAGAGAGTAGACGATGGAGCTGCACGCTCTTTTCTCTCTCTGAGCAAGAGCAAGGATCTGGTCGTCCACCTGCATCAGGTTGCTGCCCATATCAACGATCACCTCCGACAACTACAGCAAACACAATTTGTTATTCATCATCTAAAAGGATGAAATCATTAGCCTTGAAAAAAATATTTTATCTATTAAAGTCAAAAGGATGCGTAGTTTTAAAAGTTGTACATGGGTAATGTGTTTGCATAGATTTGTGTTTGCTGCTAGTATTGATTTCAGTTGGGTCTTGTTGAGAAAATTGTATACTTTGTGATAAAAAAAAGGGAATTAGAGAATTATAATTTTGCTTAGTTCTTAAAGAAAGATCAAATCAGAAATCGCATCTCAAAACAATATGAGTGCATCGCTAAGGAGAGTGAACTTTGAAAATGTTCTCACCACTCGCAGCTGCCTGACGTATTCCATGAACTTCTCCATTATCTGGGCAATATACAGCACATCTACAGAGTCAGTGAAGCCAGCCACTTCCAGCGTGTATGTCCGCACCTGATGGGCCACGGTGACGGCGTTGGACGCGTTTATGGGTGTCTAAAATGGAGACGTAAAACAGGGTGAGTTTTGTTGCCAGGACGTGAGTCGGCGTACGGTGGCATCGACGGCGTTACCGACCAAAATGAAGGTATGCAAGACACGAGTGATGCCGTTGGTGTACTGGCAGTTGGAGTAGTCGCCCTCGTGCCACTTTCCGGACCGGTCACAGTATCGGGAGGCCTTTTTCTGCTCCGTTACCCCCTCCACAGACAAGGAGGGGTAACGGAGCTGCAGACAGTACTGGTGGGAGGTGATGCCGGCCAGAGTTCTTGGCCAACTGTGGAGCAATAAAAAAAATAAAGCTTTCAGTGAAATGCTGAAACTCAAATCTACTCAAAGTAAACCACTGTCATGACAACTAACCGGAACTCCCCGCGGTTGTTTAGAACTTTATCTTCTGGGCAGAAGGAGGCGCTGTTCTCCAGCACTACGATTTCAACAGTGCGCGAGGCATTGCCCCGCCCAGTAGTGACCACACACTCCCACTCTCCACTTGCCTCCACGTGAACGTTGGATAATATGAGCTCGCTGAATGCAAACAGATTGTTTTAAACGACTGGTGCTTTTTTTCCCTCTTACTTGGACAACACATCATAGACAGGTTCTCAAAGAGGAGCAGATACTGTACCTGGTGATGAAGGTGCAATCATGCACCACGCTATCCTCCAGCTGGACGCCTCTGTCAGGGTCAGATGTCACTACTTGACCATTGTGACGCCAGTGTATGCTGGTGAGCTTGTCCATCAAGGCAGCAGTGCAGTGGAATGGCAGCCGGTCGCCTCTGAAGACCACCTGACGCTGGGACGGCAGCAGCGACAGGGTGTGTAGCTCCAGTGGACCGTCTGAGCAGCAAAGTGTTAAAGGACATGTGGTTAGCTATTACAGAGGAAAGGTGGCTGCTGTCTCACTGCCCACCTTCAGTTAAATGTGCCCAGATTAGCTACACTACATTTGAAAAACATATTTTTAGCCTTTGGACTTTTCCATATTTTGTGACTAAGCAACCAAAGCTTTATTGTATCCTCTTGAAATTTTAGGTGATAGAACAATACAATGCAGTGCACAGCTGTGAGGTGGAAAGAAAAGGATCTTACAAACACCATATCATATGAAGCTCTGAACTTTGACTAGGCCCTGATCTAAATCATTCCTAAACATTTCAATTGTAGCTCTTGCCTGTATTCTCAGGATTCATCTGTGACAAGTTTCCCCTGTGACAAGCTATTCTGCAGCTTGCAGAGTAGGTGATTGTGTAGATTTAGCTTTTATCACATAAACTAAATCATAGGTTATTTTTGTGGGCAATAAAGGGGGTGAGGGGCAAAAAAATGCCCGCCATACGTTTCAGATTGTTTTTTCCAACCCTCCCACAACTTTATTGTTCAAATTGACACGTATCGTTTTTCTTTCATGTCTCAGTTCCAGACTACTTTGTGTAAGTCTATTACTTAAATCAGAATCAATTGCAATGAAGTTTGTGATTGCCGTGTGACAAAGATTAGCAAAAGTTCTAGCAGTATGAATATTACTGCAAAGAACTGTGCTATGAATTTGCTTTTCAGCAGCAGCCAACCGGAAGCAGACAGCAGCAGACAGTTAAAGTAACCCACAGGGATGGATGCCAACATAGCATTGCTGAAACTTGTGAAAAGATGGTCTTGAGCTTCATTACAGAGTGACAGTCATTTGCATAGTAATGCTCTCTGAACTAAAGCGGTAACCCGCCTCATTCCTGCGCCTCAGCGAAGCCAGGGACTCACCACAGCTTAGCTGGCTTTCTCTCAGGCCTCGCAGGGGCTTTCCCCTCAAGGTCCTCGGGAAGGCGCACAGGGTATCTTCTCCCACACGCACCGAGCTGCTGCGGAGGAAGCTCGGCATCCAACGGAGCCCACAGTCACAGGACAAGTAGTCTGACACGAAGTTTCTGCGGAGGGAATAACCATTCATTAAAAAGAAAAAAAAAAGAGTCATGTGAATTCTACCTCTGGTTAAACTCATGGAAAAGCGTGGAAATGAAATGAAACAAATGCATGTTTTAGCTGATAAAAACTACAAACTGTCTTAGATTTTCTACAGTTCTTAGCAGAAGTATTTAATTTTTTATGGGCTTTTTCCACTTTTTGCAACATTATAACTAAAAGTCTCTGCATTTTTCTTTTCCAGGACTCGTTTTATTCTAATTCTAGAAAATAACAATTCTGAGCAACTCAGCATGTTCATGTGTTAGAACTGCCTAGTCAAAGTCCAGACCAAAGTCCAACCAAATATCTATCTCAAGACTTGAATGTTGCTATTCCCGTTTGTTCTCCATTTATTTGTAAAGAACAATAAACCATTGTGAGTGAATGGTAGGGACAAATAGTAGTGTATACACTTTACATGCTACACTGTGAAAAATGTAAAACATGTAAAAAGTGTACTTTTCCTTCAAATTCACAATTGTACACTACTTTATGTGCTCTTTCACATCCAATTCTAAGAAAACATATCAACTTTTGTGGTTGTAACATGTAAAAAGTGGAAAAGTTTGACTGCTCTCCTGAGGAATTGAGTTTAATTAAGTCACTTTTTTTTTTTTGCTCACACTTGTTTGAGGGAAGGCAGCTCCTCAAACACGCCTGGATCCAGGGTTGAGATGATGTTGCCAGAGAGGTTTCTGTAAAAACATAGATTAGGCATAAACAAGCTCTCTCGGTACCTCAACAGCAAGTCAAAGTTGAACACATTTCAGTGTAGCTGATGGGTCTATGTCTTACAGCTTGGTGAGGTTGGTCAGTCCTAGGAACATGTCTGTGGTCAGGCAGCCGATGCGGTTGTTGGACAGGTCGCTAAACGTGTGAAAGAACAAAAGAATGTGTTAGCTATTATCAAATGAATATCTCCTTAGCAACAGATTGTTGTGTCTTGACTCATTCATTGCCCCCAGATGCTATATTACATGTCCATTTGACATGCAGCTGAACTGGGCCGGCCCTCTTCTGTGTCGGCTCAGACCACAGCAGTATGCAAACTTCAATTTCAGAATCGTAGACAGTTCACATCTCCCTTATCAGGACCCCGAAGGACCCGACCGAAGCTTTATCATCAGCAGGGTAAAGCAGGGGCCCCTGTTCTACAGTCCACCCCTGAGTGTGATGTATAGCTGAAGCCAGAGAGGGATCTGCTCTGCTGCACCTCTGACACTACCCAGCAGAGAGCTGTCCAGAGCATGTGTTTATCTCCCCCTGTTTGTTTTGAGAAGCCCCAGACCTCGCAGGGAAAATACAAGAAGAAGGAGGAGGGAGGAGGGACGAGGACTCACGCGGCGTGGCGCAGACAAACACTTTCGACCCACGCCACAACCAAGCGTCGGAGTAACAGAGATACAAGACGTGAGCAGCAAGCTGCTGCACAAGGCTGGCTTGTCACATTCAGTGCCTTGTGAGGAGGCTCGGAGTAGCCCTGATGTTTTCCACATCATGCCACAGGGATGACATCTGATGGTTTTTACTGATGTCGAATGAAAAATTCAGGCTTAAGCTGAACATAGCAATTGTTTTATAACATCTGTAGCTGCCAAAAGAATTAATATCTGTTTAACTCAGCTACTGACTTCTGGATAGAAAAGGAGTTTTCATTAATTTACACTTGCGTGTTTGTTGCTCTGTGCATAATCACACTTTGAGGGATGTTACTACGTCTACTCACAGCTTCCGAAGCTCAGACAGGCCTTGGAAGGCTCCAGGCATGATGGTGCTGATTAGGTTGTGCTTCAGATCCCTGGAAACGGGAAAAAAAGAGAGAAATGTTGGTGTGTGCATGCAGAGATAATAATCACAAAGATTCTCTGTTTTGCTTTTAATCTGCGTGCAAAATGTTCAAGTTTTTATTATATGTCTGAGCACCATTTCTGGAGAGCAGTCAGTTCACACATCTTGGGGTAAAATGTTGAACATGCAGGTAAAGGATTACATGAAGCCCATTTATGGTGCAAACAAATTTTAAGTATGAATCATTACATAATGTACTTAACAGCAAGTGCCATTTCTAGTTGGTTTAAACACCTTTCTATTTATTATTACAAAGGACCTTTAACAAGTTTACTATTAGTGGATTCCTGTCAGTTTATTGGAAACACAGAGAGGGAGCACTCACATTAAATCCTATATGAAGGGAAAGTTAGTAGACTTTTTGAAAGTAAATATTTAAAGATGGATACTTTCTGGGTTTACTAGACCTTTTTCCCCAGGATTATTAAAACAATTTGAATCAGTTTCAAGGGAAGGAGCATCAAAAAAAAAATGCTGCTAAGGGACAAGAACACAACCGAGTTCCTACTGCTTGGACAACAGATAGCTTGAGCAGTGAGTCAGCAGCCCATCTATCAGGGGAACCACAGATGTTGCGAACATTAAGTTCCTCAAAAGAAAATGTGTCAATTTGACATGCTTTTACTTTATGTGTCCTCTGCGAGTACAGAATGTCTAAACACACCCATGTCGCCGAGGAATGCCAGGTCAAACACTTTAAATCAATAAACACTCCCCTCCAAATGTACTTCTGCATGTTTACCCCCATAGGTTAGTTGCAACATTGTCTTGTTTTTTTGTTCTGTCTGAAGCAAATGATGGTTATCTGCATCTTGACTTCCCTTTCAACATGCATATGACTGCGAAGTGGCTTTTTAGGTTCAAAGGATGTGTGAAAAAAATGTATCTGGAGAATTAAAGTTTCAGCGGGATGAAGGACAGCGTTTCCAGATAAGTGTTTTGACTGTTTCACTGCTGAATCGCAGTTCAGCCGTAAAGAGCAAAGCACAGACTAATTAGGTGTAGAAAAATGATACTTTCTGCTGCTTCCATTCACCACTGCTTTGATTTACACGACCTCTGCACAGATCACAAAGTTGAAGTGTTTTGGTGCAACAGCTGTACAGAGAAACATGAGAGCCATGGAGAACTTTTAAATCCCTTAATAGAGTGCTGGTTTGTTTGTCTTCAAGCTGCTTCTCTCAAGAACTTGTGTTGGACCTGATGCAGGCCATTTTTCTTTTTATGGTCTTTATGCAGCTGTGTTCAAAGTAACAGCAGTCCAGCATCACCAACCAGATCAATCACTGTTGTTGGTAGACATTATAGAGTAATACAAAACCAAGAGATGCAACAGTCATGACATGGAGACTGCTGATTATGTGAAACGGACTGACAAATTGAAAGATCCGTGATTAAAAGACTGATAGTGTGGAGTTTTATATGTGAGGTAATCGATCATGTGAAACATCACATGTTTTATTGAAAGATGATGACGGCAAATGTTCTACATGCTCGTTATTGTGCCATCCGCTATGAAAATCTGTTTAAAATGGATAATTGCAGACATTGTCCAGAAGAACAGCGCATGCTGACCAAAAAGTTGGTTACAGAAGAGAAAATACGTGAACAAGTTCAAAAATTAGCAGACGTTGAGGTAAAATTATATCGAGTCCTCCAAAATGGAAACCGATATGACAAATATTAAAATAAATAAAAACAAAAAAACTGTCATTCTAGGGACTGAAGAGGAGCCAAATTGGCAACGATTAGATGATCAACTGAAGAGTGATCAGGTCATTGTGGTGTAAAGTTATCTGTGAGCACTGAAACATTTAATTATGTCAATATGAAGCCAAGTTCTAGACAAAAGCCCCCTACAAAGTCCAAATGTTGAAAACACACGTTGAGCTGAAGAGGTCACAGTTTACTGGTTTAAAGCAAAATGGAGCAAATGATTGAAGTGATGTTTGTG